TGCCAGATTGGCCATAGTGCAAGTGGGAGATTGTTGGAGTTGTGCCCTGATGGCCAACTGTTTATCGTTATTCTATCATGTATAGGCAGATATAATATGTTTACACATCTCATGCTAATGTAAACAAATATTATATTCCTAGATTTATATTTAAAAGATGTTTATCAGATAGTGTTCTTCTGCTGATGAGACTAACATCTTGAAATAAATATTTATCTAAATGTCCATAGTCGAGTATTAACGAGAGTGGGATATCGTTAATGCATGTGAGACTAGTGTGTGTTGGATGTTTGACTTAGTCTCATAGTCAATGACGGTGTGTTCGCATCCGCACATGGGCAGATATTATCTAGAAATAATAGGATGCCGGACTGACCCATCCTAAAGATGTTGCTTGAACTTTTAGTTCATGCTCTAAGCATCTTTGGCGCGACCACGGGTGTAACTATCCTTCGACTTGAAGTATTACGTTTTCTGCATATGTGAACCCGCATACTTTGATGCATTGTCCTAAGCCATATGAAATAAGGATGATATACAGGCTTTGTTTTGGGTATGCCGCAGCGCGTATTCAGAAACGTAGATTACGTACATAGGATTTGTCACTACTCTTTTTAAAGAGATTAATGTCTTATGGGGCCCATTGATAAGTTATGACTAAGGAAATTGCATGGCCATGCTGAGATGCTTTTATGATGTCTGTTCATATTAGTCAGATTTGATAAATCAGTGAATGACTTAATGGATACAAGTTGGATTTTATTAATCCCTTGCATTAAGTTTAGACATTGAGACAAAGGGATACAGTTACACGGAGTCTTAGTCGTGGAAAGGTTTTGACGGTGCAAACGTCTTAACTTATAATTTGGGGGCAATAATGTGTTGCTAGATACCGATTATTGCTTATAGGATTGGTGCAGAGCCAATACTGTGGCCAGCTTTATAAGTGCCTATACGGGTCACACACTTTGGACAATTTAAGGAGTAGGATTAAACAATGGGATAATAAGTAATTTGTATATTTGTAAAATTAGTAAAATAAAATATTTTGGAATGTAATATTATATATATATAAATATTCGGTTATATATATTATATATATGTGCCGATTATATATATATGTTATATGTTGAATATTTTATTTTATTTTGTCATTTTAATTATGAAAATAATTATTTTGACATAAACTATTTAAAGTATATTTGTATACTTGTTTAAAAATGATGTTGGTATTTTATTTGATTTAAAATTTTTGGTGTCAAATAAAATACACTTTAAACATTTGAGTGGAGAAGAATTTCACAAATCCTTCTCATATCATTGTTTGGCCAAGTGGAGATTTTAAAGGATCAAATTTCTATGATTGAAATTAGTGGAGCTAATAATGTTTTAACCTTTAGCTTAATGACAAAGTATGATTAATCAATTTGTAATCTTTGTTTTTTAAATAACACGGCAATTCCATTTTAAAGAGTGAGGATCATCAATTGATTACTAAAGCATACTTAAGCATACTTTCGGCCATTGTATTTCTAGTGAGAGAAAAATATTAGTTTGGTTCCATTAATATCATTTTGTGTATAGAAAATATCTATAATATTTTCTAAATATTATTAGAAATATTTTCTATAGAAATATACAAGATTATTATTATCCCAAATTTTAATCTTTATATTTTATACTACTATAATCTTTACTAGCATAAAGATTGTGGTAGACTCCGGCGTTGTTCGTGTGTCAAAGTTGGAGACCGGACGCTTGAA